TGTTGGGATGTGTCCCATGGGGGTGGAAGAGGGTCTCACCCCCGCTGTGCCTGGGCTGGGACCAGTAGGTCCCACTGGTGCAGGGTAGCCAGAAGTTCTCCCACACACTCACTGGGCCTGGGCTAGGACTGGATCTCGGCTTCTGGTTTCTTTTGCTGTTTATTTCCGGTTTCTTTCCTGTATTCCTTATTGAAGCAATACGTCATTTTTCTGATCTCTATTTTTTTTTATCAGTGTCTTCTTTAGCAGCCATTATTAATTCTTTTGCTACAGAGATTTTTTTCAGATCAGTTTTCCTCCATATGTTTCTGCATTTGATTCTTTACTTCAGATGCTATTAATTCAGAGATTTCTTTTTTTATTTCAGGAGTTATTTCTGATCTGAGTTCCTCTATAGCTTTCTGCTGTTGTTTCTTTATTTCTGACGCTATTTATTCAGACATTTCAGCTGTGTGATTCCCAATTTCTTCTGTGCTAGTGTCTTCTGCACTTGTTCTGGGAGGGCTCGGGGCCTGAGATTGCATTTTGCTCCTTCTCTTTGTCATTTCATATAGTACTGATCTCTGACCTTTAGTGTAGAGCTTTAGTGCAGTTATAACCTTTGCACCTACTGAAATTTGAGTGCAGGTCTATTAAGTTTGAGTTCATCCAGTTGTGCCTGGCCTGCGTCTGGCTGTTGTGCTCAGCTCCTTCCTGCTGCAGCCCTTGGAAGTGAACCTGAAGTGCCCCTTTGTCAAGATATTCTGCTCCTAGATTAGTTGGGTTGTTCTGGCCCCTAGTCTCTCTGTGGGGACTTTGCGTGCAGAGTTTCACCCTAGTTCTGTATGCCAGGTCTGGTCTGAGTTCAGGAGGCACAGGGGAGCACAGAAATTCTCCCACACACTAGTTGGGCCTGGGCTTTGACTGGATTTGGAGGGTCCCGAGAGCGCGGCAGAAGTTCTCCCTCACTGGGTGGGCTTGGGAGGCTCCAGAAGGGTCAAGGGGTCCCGAGGGCATGGCAGAGGATCTTACTCATGCAGTGTGCCTGGGTTTGGTCTGGAAAGGTCCTGCAGATGCAGGTGACGTGGAAGCTCTCCCCCACACTCACTGGGCATGAGTTTGGGCTGGATCTGGGGGGTACCAAAAGCAGAAGTTCTCACTCACTTGGCAGGCTTGGGGGGGGGTTTGGGAGGGGTGGAGGGGTCCCAAGAGTGCAGCAGAGTGTCTCACTCACACAGTGTGCCTGGGTTTGGTCTGGAGAGGTCCCATGGGCACTCACACAGTTTCTTTATGTAAACAGTTTTCTTTTTTCTTTACTTTTATTTCTGATGAATGCTGTCTCTGAAAAATGGTATAATGACCCCATGTGTATGACTATCATGTTGTGATTAGATAAACACTGTACTACCACTTTCTGGAAAGTACTGCTGGTTTTTTTTCTTAAATCTTTTATCTATTTACTTATTAGATACAGGGTCTCACTACACAGCCATGACTCATAGTCATTGTCCTGTCTCAGCTTCCCTGGCACTGGGATTGTAGTATGTGCCATGAGGCCTTGTCTCCATGGCATGGTGCACCCAGGTTCCAGGCCAGGATGACATGTGGTACAGGGCATCAAGCCTGGGTCCTTGCACCAGCCAGGCATGTGCTTAGACCACTGAGCAATCTCCCCTACCCAGGACCTGCTAGTTTTGGAAATGCTATTTTTAGAAACTGGACCAACTACTATATAAGCTGCTGTATTCCTATCACCACGGTTAATAACTCTGACTGGCAACAGTTAGGGTATCGTCTGCATATGCTAAAAAAAAAAAAAGTTTATTCTAGTTAACTGACTTCCTGTGGATGATTCTGGTTACCTGCCATAAGAGCAGAAGCTCCTAAATGTCTACATTTAGGTTTGTATTAGAGTAATCGACTTCTGAGGGAAATTTTTTCTCCCTCTCCTGCCTTAAGATCAGAAGTTAGGATGTGATAGAGTTAAAGGACTAAGGGGTTAATAATTCCATCTTTATCTGTTCCTATTCTCCATTTTAGTCCAGTGCCTTGACTTTACCCTTATCTGTTCACTTATGGGTTCATTACCTCTCTGGGTTTTTTTTGTTTTTGTTTTTGTTTTTGTTTTTGTTTTTGTTTGTTTGGAGGCAGGTGTATGAGCCAGGGGCTCGCTATATAATCCAGCCTGGCCTTTCATTTACTATGTAGCCCAGACTGGCCTCAAACTCATAGTGATATTCCTGCCTCAGCCAGCTCAATGCTGAAGTTACTGGTGTGGGCTACCTTGCCCAACAACTTTCTGCATCACTCAGTGTTTTGTTTTGTTGTTGTTTTTTTTTCATGAGCTAAACATGTAGTCTTTTGTCATAGAGGGAAAGATGTATTACTTTGCAATCTGGTGACTGAGTGCATTTGGAGATAGAGCTGCAGCTGTGCCTTATTCAGACTTTTTTGTCTCACATTTCAGTATCTTTTTCAGAAGTAAGTAGCTTACTTTCTGAACATTTCCAGATTTCTGGGACATACAAATTAACCTTTTTTTTTTTTTTTGGCTGACTTCTATATTTCACTAAGTTAGTTACTATTCTTTTATACTTTTCCCAGCCTTCAAACTTGTGTAATCACATTTTTATTATTATCATTTTGTCCTTTTAGTAGGTGTCTGTTCAATCTTCTACACTTAACCACAGATTCCCCAAAATATTTTTTAAGAGTATAGAGTTCATCATGAGATTGTTACCTTCCTATTTAAATATGTATCTCATTAGCCTTATGTAAAGTTTTATATGAGTTTGCAGCTATCTAATCTCTAATTCATGTTGTAGTTACTCTCCTCCAGCACCTAATGCTCTGATTACCAAGTATTTTTTTGCTTTTAGTCCTTATTTTTAGTTATTTTGTCTGACTGAAATGTTCTTCCCCATGTTGGGGCGAGGTTCATTTATCTCGTGTCCCCAGAGCAACTTTTCTGACATTAGTACTATATATCTATAAGCCAGTTTTATTGCCTTCATCAAATTTATCACAATCAGTTTATTTACTTCTTTATTTCCTGTGCCTCATCAGCTACAAGCTTCTAACATTCTGGAATTTGTTAATTTTGGTTATTCTGCAGCTCCAGTTTTGAGCAGAATGCTCTCTTGGTAGACATTCTTTAAGTACTTATCAAATAAATAAAGACTGTATGGTAGATTAACTGGCAACTTGTAATACCCAGCTGAACTGAACCAGTGTGGTGCTGAGTGTGGGTGGCCCACCTGAGGACTCTTGCCAACAGCATAAAAAGAGCAATGGAGGGGAAGGTGGTGTGCTGTTGATTCTCCTAGAGAACTTTGTCAAGCTGATTTTCCTGATATGAACCCAGCTGTTCTCATAGTAGGAGGAGTTGGAGTCCTTGCTGTCAATCGGAATGGCTGAAGTTCAGGACCTAGTTGTCACTGAGAAGAGCTGCAGTTCACACTGGGGAGCTCTGGTCCTTACCTTAGGCTTCCCTTCCTGGCTCCAGTGCAAATCCCTCAGCCTGCTGGCGCAAATCTTTCACCCCACTATCACAGATTTTTTAATTTCCACCACTGACCTTTGCTTCCCAGCACAGGTCCTTGATACAATCTTGCGTGACACATTTTCATGGGCTCTAGGTCTTCTTTTGGACTTGTGCAGAACATTGCCAAGGGAATCCAGGCCCTCAACTGGATTCTTTGAGTCTAGTGTGTGGAGAGATCTCCTATACTGTTTTGCAATTGGCTTTTGGGTGACTACTATAGAATGATCCTATGAATCATATGTCCTGTATTAAATATTTTCTCTTGCAAACCCTGACTACAACAGACTGAATGGCAAATACACGGTACCCTAGGCCTAACCCTTTTGTAGAACATAGGTTGGAACTTGACATCTTGTAGTGTTATAAAGTGTGTTGATACTAGAATAGATGTTACTCAGCCATTCCTATAGAGTTAGTAATGTAGTTATGAGTTTGCTATGGTATCACAGGCCACTAAATTAGATAGAAATATATAGTCTCAAGATAATGGGCTTTCAAGGAAGTCAGCAGAAAAATAAAGACATCAAAATTTTCTCTGGAGGTGCATTTGAAGAACAAGATGCATCTAGACTACATGGCTAAGTAGTAACTTTAAATTATACTATAATTGGTATACTTGCTCCAATAAAAGTCCAGACAGACATCAGTCACCCAGGTTTGGTGACCAGAACCTCCAGAGCCATCCCATCCCCAAAATGCCTTTGTTCATTCCATGGACTCTGGGGCACATGGCCTGTTTCTCTATTAGATCAGTATTAGCTAAGCAGCTGTACTTATAATCTAATCAGGTGATTATAGTTTGACCCACATTGCACCCACTTGGTGATTTTTATACCCATCTCATGATTTTGTTCTATAAAACATTCTTAGAGAAGTGGCCCTCCTGGCATCTCACTTTCAGCTTGTCTCCTGCCTCTCAGATGCTATCTCTCCAGAAATGTTTCTTCCTCTTAACCTCTGTTGTTCCTTAGAATTAGTGCTTCAGTTTTGGGGACACAAACTGGGTGTATCTGACATCTACGAGGCTACAAGTTACATTGTCTCCTGTATCATCAGGACCTTTAAATTTACTCAGGTTGAATCTTAAAATCTTAGACTTAGTTTATCTGATAACAAATCGAAAGTCAAAACTCTGATGAAAGAATGGAAAAAATGCAAACTGGTGGAATGGGAAGGGGCGCACTAGGACCCCAGAACGCAGGCTGACAGACTACAAGGCACTACTACATCTGGGACCGTGAACATCAGAAGGTACTACAGCTGGGACTGTAATTCCTAGGGTGGTGTACAACAGTGACTACAAGAATGCAAGATAACCAGGACTGCAACTCCCAAGAGGCACAGCTGGGCCCACACTTTCAGGAAGTGCTCTGTGCAACTAGGACTGCAACTCCCAGAAAGCTCTACGAACGTAACTGAGATTCCCAGAATGCATCACACCAAGACTGCGACTCCCAGCATGCACCCCAACGGAAGGCGGGCGAGCGGGCCATGCCGGGATCGCTCCTCTTCCGGGGGAGGAAGGAGTGTTGTCTTGAATCTGTGCCCGAGACTGGGGTTTCTGAGCGTCTCTGGTGCTTTTCCTGAATAATTGGGAATCTGCGAAATGTGGCGGGCCTGGCTGTAGTCCTTCAGGCGGAGAGCGCTCTCCCTCGCGCGCACATGCCCCTCGCCAGGCCCGGCTCCGCGGCGGAGGCCCCGAAGAGCCGAGGAGGAAGCGGCGACGCGGGCGCCGGCCCTGCGGCTCGGTGAGGAAGGGCGGCGCCGGTGCCCCTTCCGGGCTTCCGGCTGTGACCGCCGAACGTCCGGCCCGGCCTCTGCCCGCCTCGGGACGCGACTCTGCGTTTCGGGCTCGTCCGCCTCCTCCGGTCGGGCCGCCTGCCGGCGCCGGGCTCGTGGGCGCGCCGCGGCTCAGGAGGGACCCTGGGGCGCCTTCGCTTCGTTCTTGGGCGGCGGAGGCCGTGTTTCTGCCATCAGAGGCTGTTTCCGCTTGTCTGGAGAGAAAAGGGGATAACTTCGGGAGGTCTTGTGAAGCTAGAATTTTGTGAAGCACGTCATAGCGTCATTTTTTTTTTTCTGCTTGTTTTTAAATACAGTATTTGGCTGAACTATGATCTAGTAGGAGAGTGGTGGAGGTGCTTGTTGTTTTAAAATTATTTCTTTTAAGTAGTCGGTACCTTATGTAAAAGTAGGATTTTTTTAAAAAAATGTGTTTGGTACAGGGTCTCCCTACGCAGCTTGGGCTTGTAGTGATCCTCCCGTTTTCCGCCTCAGCTCTGGGATTACGGGCGCGCGCCACTAAGCTCGACTCAGTGGCGGCTCAGTACGACCGGGGCTGGGCCGCCGCGGCCTGGGATGCTGGGGCTCGCACCCCGGTCCCGGTGCATGCCTGAGCAGGCCCTTAGTCCACTGAGCTAACTCGCCGGCTCTCGGTACCTTGTGTAAACGTGACTTGGTACAACTCATTTCACAGACTGTTGGAGAGATGACTATCTCTCCTAACATGATGAAGCGTGCGAATGAATGTCAGTCCTGTAGGAGGACAGGCCGAGTTCTACCTCCTTTTATTCTTTGGGTTGAGAATAAAGGCAGTGACCCATGACTTGTAATCTATTGGAGCCAGCATTTTCTTATGTATAAAGTGATAATAATACTACTTAAGTGACTTTGATATATGTCCAGCCGCTTAAGATGTATTTATTTACAGTTCCCATTATGATCAGCTGTAAAGTTCTGTACTTTAATAAGTCAGTCTATAGATAGGTTTCTTCTGTTTTTCTTTTATCAGACTTATTTTACTTGACAGTTTTTTTTTTGTTGTTGTTGTTTTTGTTTTTTTTGAACTAGGGATTGAACTCAGGCCCTTGTGCTTGCCAGGGAAGCGCTTATTCTACTGAGCCATCTCCCGGGCCCCCTTGATAGTTTTTTTAAACGTAATTGTTTCTGTACCTCAGACCAGGTGGACTTTTTAAAATAGTGTGTTTTTAAAGTTATTTGCTCTCATTACTACTACTTTTGACTTCTTGAAACTACAAATTTGTAATGCAGTGCAGATGAAGTGTCCTGTATTCGAAGTTCTTGAGACTGAAATGGCTTCAGAGGGTTTTTTTTTGCTCAATTTTGGAGTATTTGCATATGCATAAGGGGAGGATGAGAGCCAAGCGTAGACATGAAATTCTTTTGTTTCATACACATTTGATACACATTGCCTGAAGGTAAATTTATGCAGCATTTCAGTGTGTCAGACTTTGACCGTCACCTGTCACGTGACATCAGCTTTGGACCCTACACTTGTGGCATTAGGTTAGCACTCAGAAAATTTCAGATTTTGGAGCATTTTGGGCTTTAGATTTTCAGGTTAGGAGTCCTCAGCCTACAGGAGACAGGAAAGAAAGCCAAAAGAGAAAAATAACTGAAAAAAGAAGGATAAAACGGAAACAAAGCTTTGTAAATGAGGGGAAAAGGGTTTAAGAGAGGGAAATTGGAAAAAAGATGAATCAAGAGGCCAGGGAGATAGCTGAGTAGAATAAGCGCTTCCCTGGCAAGCACAAGGGCCTGGTTCCATTAAAAAAAAAAAAAAAAAAAAAGAGATGGATGAAAATATATCATGTACAGGTACAAATTTCTTGTAATGGATGTTTGTTTTACGGGGGATTGAACTCAGGCCCTCCTTGCGCTTGCCAAGCAAGCGCTTATTCCACTGAGCCATCTTCCCAGCCCCTTCCTGTAATGGATGTGATCAATATGTATATCTAAATTGTACCAATAAACAATTGTATATTTAACTTTTTGGTACCGGGAATCAAAATCAGGACCTTTCATCTTCTGGCCTCCAAAAAAAATAAAATAAAATAAAAGGACCTTTGGCTTGCCAAGCAGGTACTTGTGCCACTGAGGTATATCCTCAGCACTAAACTTAATGTAAAAAGAAAAAAAGATTTGTAAATACATTTGTATATTGAGGAACATTAATACGGTAAAATTTTCCACATCAAAATAATATAGCCTTAAAAACAATACTACAGCCCTGAATACCAAGAAATTCTAGATTTTATGAACTGTATTTTACTTTAACTCTCATTTTGAACCTTAAAAAAAATTGTGTTCTTTCCTAGGTACCAGTCTTACCATGCTTCCCTGTGATATTTGTGGTGAAATGGTAACCTCAGAATCAGATATGAAGTCTCATCTCCTAATTGTTCACATGGAAAATGAAGTTATATGTCCATTTTGCAAGTTGTCAGGTGTAAATTATGATGAAATGTGCTTTCATATTGAAACTGCTCATTTTGATCAGAATGCTCTAGGAAAAAACTTTGAGAGAGTAAACCTAATCCAGTATGGAACTTCAGCTGACAAGGACAGAACTCTGCAGAGTACAGTGGAAGCTTGTGCCTCTAGTCGTCCAAAGTGTTCAGCTCAAAGCCCGCCTAAGGATGGTGCTTTAAAACAGGACTCATCTCAAACAAAAGAATCAGTTTATGAAACAGTTCATAGTCCTCCTGAATGTCCATTCTGTGGAAAAGTAGAAGAATGTAGTCAAGATATAGAAAATCACATGAAAACAAAGCATGTTAGTCTTTTAGACCCACCATTAGAAGAAGGTAAAGTGTTCATTATATTATAGTTATTATAAGTCTCAGTTTAAAATGAGGTGCTCAAGAGTTGGTTTGTAAATCAGAGAGTTTTGTTTTTAGTGTGTGTGTGTGTGTGTGTGTGTGTGGCCAGCTCAGCCCACCAGGGGGCAGGGCTGGCTGGCATGTGGTACTGGGGGATTGAACTGCGGTCCCTGTGCTTTGCTAAGCTTGTTCTAAGTAGGTGCTTTAGACCACTGAGCCATCTCACCAGCCCTAAGTAGGTGTTTTAGACCACTGAGCCATCTCACCAGCCCCAATCAGAGAGTTTTTAAATCTAATTTTTGTCTGTAATGTTTGTTTGCCATAATTGTAATATGAAATTATGAAAAAGAATGCAGATTTGAATGTTTCAGAGTATTTGAAGTATGTTGAGCATTTTTCTGCCCAATTTCAACAGGATATTCTTTTGCTTCCATCAACCCAGTATCTACACTGAGCTGGATTCTTACCTTTGTATTACTAAGCAGGGACTACACTTTGATAACCAGTTCTTTGAATTTGATGAGGCTTATTTTATGGCTCAAGATGTGGGTCTGCCTTGGTGCATGGTTCATGAGAACTTAGAAACAAAGTACTCTGCTTTGATGGGCAAAGTGTTCTGCATATGAGACATGATCAAAAACCGTGGTGCACTTAAACTTTAAAAAATCTGTATAGTAGGGCCGGGGAGATGGCTCAGTGGAATAAGCACTTCCCTGGCAAGTACAAGGTTCTGAGTTCAATCCCCAGTTCTGCCCCCCCAAAAAAATCTGTACAATAAATGATATATTGCCATTAACCCTAAAAATATTGCCGCTCACTCCAGGCACCTTGTTTCAGTCATTTTGTCAAGTTCCACAAAACTCCACTCAAGTATTATTTGAGATTAGAGCATTTGCACGCATCTCAGTTTATCTTTTATATCTTCATAATCTTTTCAATGCACATGTGATGAGCTGCATTCCTTTGTTGTATATAATTTCCGTTGCTTTTGTATAATGGACCCGTGTCTCTTATCTAATTGATTCTTGAAGTTAAAGAGGGCATTATCAACTCTATATGACAAGTGTCTAGTGCTGTTTGGCTCGTACTCATTTGGATATTTGTCTGTTGGTTGCTGTCAGTGCTCTAGATGATTTTCTTATGTGCACATTCTGGGAACTGCTGGAGGTCCCTCTGAGTGCAGCACCAGCCCTGTTCTGCTGGCTCACTGCTGTCTCTTAAGATTCTCAGCAACCTAGTGCCAAGGGCAGCTCACTTGTATGTCAGAGTGTTGAGTGAAAAAAGAAGAGGTATAGAAGTGAAATTAATAGCTGGGTTTAGCAAATATTTGAGGACAATAATGGAAGAAGGAAGTTTGCAGGTATTTTAAGGGAGTAATTATGTGGAGTATGCATGACATCTAGGCTAAAAAGTAAAAGAATATGAGGGGGGTGATGAGTACAAAAATAGGACCTGTGTGTGTACTACTTTGATAACCCAAAGACTTGAGAGCAAGTAGCCTACAGTCGGAATGTTTGGTGACAAACTCAAGGTATAATCCTGTTATGCTGTGAATAAATTAAGGTGAAGGTAAAGATTGTTGGAAGTGAATTGAAGGCGTTCTCCGCATGGTTATGGAAGCTGTTGAGAATGGTCGCAGCCCAGCTGAGTGTGGCAGTGCTTACCGTAATCACAGCTCTCAGGAAGCCAAAGCAGGAGGGTAGCTGCAAAATCAGAACCAGCCTGCACTACATTTTGGGTTCAAGGCCATCCTAAACATAAGATCCTGTTTCACAAACAGGTAAACAGAATAAATAATAACATAACACTATCCCAGTATAAGGTTTAGGAAAAGATTTTTTTTTAATTTTATTTTTATTTATGTGTGTGTGTGTGTGTGTGTGTGTGGCCAGCTCCGCCCACCAGGGGGCGGGGCTGGCTGGCATGTGGTGCTGGGGGATTGAACCGTGGTCCCTGTGCTTTGCTAAGCTTGTT